TCCTGAGAGTGAGTAGCCCTGAGCTACTTGCCAGGGCAGCTTTTTGTACTGCTGTGGCCAGGACAGGGCAGCTCTTTATACTGATGGGGACAGCACAGGTGCTGGCCCCAGGCTCTAGCTCCCCCTGGATGCAGATCTGGGAGGAGCCAGGCAGGGTTATTTTGCTCTAAGTGGCACAATTTGCTCTACAACAAAGTGCATGTCCAAGCACGTGTGCTGAGACAAAAAGCCCCGGCTCAACTTTGCACCGCTTCTATCTGAGCTGCTGTAACCGCATGTGGGTGGATCTATAAGTTTGAAAAGAGCTAAAAACAGTCTGTTGGGCTGCCAAAAGGAAGAAAAAAACCCACAGGAATAGCTAACAGACAGCAACATTTCCAGAGGAAAGGTTAGCTTGATTAGCAAAACATCAAGACCATTAAAATGGAGACATGGTTGTTAATACCTGTGGAATGAAGACTAATGAGCCATTAAGTTGATTGACTCTCTCAGCTACCTAAACAGAACTGCTGCTGCTGCTGCTGCTAGGCAGTTGGTTTTAAAATTTGGGTGGAGAAGGAATCAAAGTAGGGTGTTTATTCTGGGGAGGAAATCAGTTTCCCTGCTTAAGACATTCCCTGCCCATTTTGGAAGCCTAATGTTGGGGGGAAAGGTATGTGCTTTGAAAGGAAATAGGTTACGTATATTTTTATAGTGGTGAGAGAGGCTTGTCGGATTCTGTGGATTTAAGGTACCACTAAAGTCTACATATGGCTTGGATAGGGCTTTACTGCTGTGTGTGTGATTTATGTGATAGTTAATCTGTACAAAGAACATGAGTTCAGCTTAGGGTGTGTTTGTGAAGCCCTTGAACAAAAGACAAAAATATTAGTAAAAGCATCAGGAATTGGGTGAAGCTCAGATGTGTGAGCACCGAGGAGAGGGCAGAAAGGGGTTTAAGCCAGTGGTTCTCAACCATTTCAGACTCAAAGCGTCCCTCTGAAAATGCCAGCTCTTAGCTTCCACTTGTCTCTTGAGTACAGAAAAATAACAGAGCAACTCCTCTGTTGCACAGAACTCAGGCCACAACAGGTTAGAATATATTTGATGCTATGGAGTCCTTTTAGAAATCTCTGGGTTTATCTGGCAAATTGTGTGGGGATATTTGCATACCTGACAACGCTAACATTCACAGCACCACGGCACCCTTAAAAAGATCTCAAAGCAGAGATGCGATAATAGATAAGATTAGTAGTATTAGAGATTGATAGATGAATGCAATTACTTGTACTAGAATCTAATCAAGATATTCAGGCCCAGACCTTTTACCGACGGTAGCAGTCTTTCCTCATTAACATAGGAAGGCAACATTTTCCAGTAAGGAAGCAACTCCTGAATATCAGGTTGGGTTCTTGGTTCAGTATGGAAATAGAGAAGAGCACCCCACCTGGAACTCCCAGCACCACTTGTAGATCAAATTCCTGTGAATTAGGTACAGCAAAAGCTCTGTTAACCAGCATTTTACAATTCGGCATGTTCTGTTAACCAGCATGCCGGCTTGTAAAGGGAAAGTGAAACTGGAAGGGCCCACTGTGGCACTTCTGGCTTCACGGAGCTCCCACAGCTCAGGGGAAAGCAGCCTGCGCTGCCAAGCTCCCACGGCCCGGAGGCATAGCAGGCTGTGTGGGTCCCCCCTCCTTGTCTCTCGGGGCCTGTGGGAGGGGTGACAATACGGTGGGAGGGGCACCAATGCGGCGGGAGGGGCGGCAGGACAGGTGGCAGCCCGAACAGGCAAAGATGCCTGTTCAGGCCACTCAGTTATCCAGCATATTTTGTTATCCGGCACCTTCCATTCCCTCTGGGTGCCAGATAACAAGGGTTTGGAAGAGGAAGGAGAAAACAGGGATTTTATGGTTTCCCAATAGCAGGGTGGCATTGCAATAAAGTAGATTTGGAATGTTTGCATTTCAGTGACATGCTGTGGAGTAGAGCGTCAGTCTTCCCATCACAGCAGTACTGTCTTTGGTGTTGCGCATACTGCAGCGTATACTTTTACTACTTGCTCTTTATCGCCTCCATGTATCAGTATGTCATCTACATATGACAACACACAACTTTGACTGTCTGGAGAAAGCTTGTCCCATATCCTTACCACATGTGCATGGCGTATTGCTGGGGCATTGTGAAATCCTTGGGGCACTCAAGTAAAACAATACTGTTGTCCCCTGAATGTCAATCCAAATTTGTACCAGCATTTCTGTGCCAAGGGAATGGCAAAAAAATGCATTAGCCAAGTCCAGTACTGAAAACCATTTTGCACCCCCCTGCTATGGCTGCTAGAATTTCAGGGTATTTCACCACAACAGGAGCTGTGACAGGAGTCACTGCATTCAAAGCTCTGAAGTCTATTGTTAATCTCCAGGTTTTCACATCTGCTTTCAGAACAGGCCAAATCGGGAAATTGCAAACACTAGGCTTCTGTATTATTATTTCCTGACTTAAACTATTTATTGTGGGTTGTAATCCCGCTTCAGCCTCTCATGGATATTTATATTGCCTCTGTGGTGGAGGGTCTGGTCCCCTAATCAAGACATAAACCCGTATCTTGCCACATTCTAACTTATCCTTTGCCCAAGCCTTAGGAAATGCCTGCATCCACTCATCCTGATTAACTTAATCAGTTATAGCAGGAGCCTTGATAGCTGCACACCGATGCACTGCAGAAATCAACACACTCTTTTCCTCTACTGGCCATTTCCACAGACACCCGCTAGCTAAATCCAGCAGTATTCCTCCCTGCTGCAAAGCAGTCATTCCTAAAATTCCATTCTCACCGTCTCCTCTTGGCTTATCCTTTCATATTCCATATTTTCCCCGAAACTTCCCTCTCCTATTTGAGTCACAACAGGTTGGGTTACTGGTGAGTTCTCCAACTCTCCAGTATAGGACTCTAGTTGCAAATGATTGGGGTGCATTAAAACCCCATCTGGAACCCATCTCTGTTGCAAAACACTGATTGAGGCTCCAGTATCAATCAGCATTTGGGGGTTTTTCACATTCCCCTCATCTCCCACTAAAACTTGAATGGTTGGGCGCCCCCAGTAGTCAAAGCAGACGTAGTCCAAGCAGACTCATGCCCCCTGGGTGCCTTGGGAGTGGGGCATCTATATTGTGGGTTAGGAGGTGCTGAAGGCTGAACCGACCGATGTGGGTCTGGCTCTGCTCCTTCCACTAGCCCTTCTGTCTGAATGAGCTCTACCAATCTCTTCATCAGTGCATTAGTGGGAGCCCCATTCCACTTGTTTCTGTCTTCCCTCACAGACATTAGTTTTTTCCAGACCTGTGTCCAGAAGGAATCAGGACCTTCCTCATTCTGACCCTCTCTGCAGATTCTGTATTCCATCCTACCTCTGGGTCCTCGACCCCTATTTGAACCTCTTTCCCCGAATCCCCTCTTGTGCTGAGGAGTACCAAACTTCCAAAAAGGTGGTCCATTGGTACTAAATGTGACACCCTGTATTGGTTCTCCTTTGTTACCCTTATTCCATACCTCCTTTTTAGGACTGCTCTTCCTGTATATTAATCCTGCCTTTCGAATTTGAGTCCTCAGCTCAGGCCACTGTATAGCATCATCAACATGTCCTAATATAACTTTCACTGGTGCAACCAACCCCTCTATTAGGGTGGTCTTAAATCCCAACTCATCAAAGTTATAATCTCCATTTCCCAGCTGAGGAATTAAACCCCAACAACTGCTTCCTCCGGATATAAGCTTCAGGGCTTTCTCCAGGTTTCTGCACTTCCCTAGAGTACAACCAGGTCACTATCCAAGCACCTAAAAGTTCAGTCAGAATTCCCTAGTCCATCTGTATAAGTTATCTTCAACTGGCTGTCCATCATCCAAGGCTGTCTTAATCACTGACCAGTGCTCTGAATTACAACTAGCTCAAGCTACATCTCAACAGTCAGGAACAGTCCATCTTGTTTGATCCAAACACTCTGCAACTCACTGAATTGCTGTATACCTGTTCAATGGACCTAAATTCATGGCTGCTGCTCTCATCTGTTCTGGTGCTAATGGAGCAGTAACAGTGACAGTCTGTTCTACCCTGCGCTGCTGCTGATCCAGTTCATTACCATCTCCTACTCCCCCTGCAGCTGGAGCTTGATACATCTTTATAATCTGCTGTGTCACTACTGGAGCCATAGGACACTGTTCCACCTTTTCCTTCATGTCATGCAACTCCTGCCTCAAAGGAACATAAGCACTCAAAGCTTTTGCATGTTCAGGTAGATCCCTACCTCCACTAGGGTCTAGGGAATTTGGATCCAACCAAATGCTTTCATCCCAGTTACAAGGCTGCCTTAAACCAGCTGTGACAGCTGCCACAACTCCCTGCTTCTTCTGCAACTGAGCCTGAAGGCTATAAATCACTTGACAATGCTGGTGGCCTACCTCTGACCCATTCTGCTCTTTAGGATTCCTTATAACTGCTTGCATTCCTGCCCGCGCTTCAGCAAGTACTGTCTTTGGTGTTGTGCACACTGCAGCATATAACATACCATATAGAGTTTGATTCTTCCAGATCCTAAGGTCTAGTCCCAATAGGCACCCTGTGCAGGCACTAAATCTTAGAACACTTGACTGTTGCTTCAAGAATGTATATTACTGGGGCTCTGTCTTCTGGGATTTCAGGCAATCATAAGATCCACGTAGCAAGGATTTGAATGCAAGGTAAGAATCACCGCATGATCTTCCAGCAGTAAAGTTTAGGAGTCAGATGCTTACCCAACCTGACCTCAATTAAATCAGCTGGATGGGAGCTAAATGTAGTACTAAAAAGTGGCTGAAGAAAATGAGAGAAATCTGTTGCAAATCCCAGCATGGAGCTGGTTATGTATGAAGTGGAGTATTTCAAGTATGAATGTGTGTATGTGTTTGTGCATGTGCTGAAGAAAGTAAGGTTTGCAGTGGAGACACAGGAGAGCTTTGTGTACAGCACTAACTGACGCAGCTCAGCCTGTTCTCCGTCACTCTGTTTCACTTCTGGCTGTGCAGGAACATGCAGTGGCTCTTCATCCTCACTGTCCTTGTCATCACCTACATACAACAGGTAAGCTTTTGAAGGACTTTTCCCCTCCTCTAGGGTCTAAAGCTTAAATAAAATGTACTCGAGGAACTGCCTCATGCAGAATAGAAAGCCATTTCCCACTACAGGGTAACATTTGTTTGTGAAATTTTGGCAGGCAGAATTTTGTTATTTTCCTCTTTATGCTACTCATTAAAATTTGGATGGGATGTGGGGGAAGGGGTAAAGTATTAGCAACTCTGCCTTTTATTTTTCTTTATGTACAAAATCTTGTCTGAGGCAGTGTAAAAAAGCAAACATTTTTCCTTGCTTCTACTCCAGGTATATACACTTATCTGGCTCTAGGACTCTACAGATTAGTTTTACGAATTAGCATTGAGTGCTGCTTATGTTTGGTCTTGACTTGTGGGATAATATTAAATGGAATCTTTTCTAAAATCTACTCCTGTTTCAAACGTTAATTTAATTGAAAAACCTAAAGCTTGAAAACTGTATGAAACAATGTGTTGTTTTGCTCTTCTAAATACCAAGCTAAATGTCCAAACAAAGCATTTTCAGATAAAGCTTTTTTAAATAGTTATAGCTAGACCTAAAAGCAACTGAAATTTTAAGATATGTTTGTCATGTATTTTGCTATTAACTTATTTACCTCAAACATTCTTTCCTTAATTTTAAAACAAACCAACCAATGACCCATCAAGCACTGCTATACAATGGACTCATTTTTGAGTCTGCCCAGGGAAAACATGTGCAGTGGGTTTGTGTGATGTGGACACATCATTACAGAAAGCTAAGGAAGCAAGAATTATAAAATATTTGGTCTGTAAACTTTACAGGCAGGCTTTAAATTTTTATCATAACCTGATGGATCTTTGAAGATCTTTCAAGTAAACGGAGTTATTCAGTGGTAGCAGAGGTAATGGTACCAGTGGATGTTTTCTTATATTTTGTTTTTCTTGCTGTGAAGCTTCAGCATTTCACTTTGAATTAGCCTCTTTTCCATTTTTTTTAGTTTAGGTAGCATGCTGAAAGTTCAAAGCACATTTTGCTTTATAACACAAAAGCCTGAAATAACTACATGAACGTAAGTGAATCTGCTGAACCACCTAGTATATTTCCTGTTACAAATGCACCTTGACATGCAAAAACTGATTTTAGCCACTCAGGAAGTGTCCAAAATCTATGCAAATCACTACAGAAATTATGCTGGCTCACAAGATTAGAGCAAGTGCTGAATAGTGTTAATTTTGAGTTTTTTAAATCACAGATGTCAAAGATAGGTCCCTTGGAGCCCTATCATCTGGACTGCAATGTTGCACATGGGTTTCAGAGTGGACCAACATGCATGTGGCAGTTGGGGCTGGTCTGTGGGCTAGATTCAGCCTGTGGACTGGCCCTACATCACTCATCTAGCCCATCTAAATAATTTCTTTCTTTCCTTCTTTCTATACATGCACACACAAAAATTATTCAATGTTAGAGACTAGATGGTTACTTCAGGACAGGAGGATCAAACTTATCAGGGGGCCAGTCCACAGGCTGAATGGGTCAGGCTGAATATGGGGCATACCATGCATATTATATAAAGTGACCTGCTGCCTTCATATCGTTCTTCCAGAAAAAAACTTTAAGAAGCTTAAATTATCAACTCATGAAATACAGACCAAATTATTTTTGCAGAATACATGAAAAGCTAATACTAGTAGGTTTTTTTAAAAGTTTTAAGTGCTAGAGATTTATTACTGCTGTGCTAATGAGGAATAAATACTATAACAACGAAAGAAAGCAAAACAACACATTTGTAAAGCTGCGTCTGATATACAGATCTCATGCCATGGAGGCACAGCCAAAGCCAAAGCCAAATGATAGCTCAGGTCCCACAGGAGTTGGTCAATAGGTAAGTATCTTAAAATTAGTTCTAGGAAAGTGAGCTTGGAAGCCATACTTTGGAACCTTGTAAAATGTTAAAAATTGTTTGAAAAATTAAAGATATGGCTAGAAAATGACTGTAAATTGGTGGCAGAGGTAAAAAAAAAAAAACCCAACCCTGTGAGACAGGTCCTCTATTCTCTGTAGCAAGCTAGAATTCAATTACAGTGCAAGAGCATTCACTGAAGTGCCAGGCAAAGTACTAGGCAAATTTTCCACTTTCTTCCAGTTTAAAAAGAGAAAGTTGAAATAAATTGGTAATTAATAAGCATGAGAACAGCAACCTTTGTTATTTTGCTATTACATTCAATTTTCTTTATAGTCAGTGTCAAAAGCTGGGTTTTTTTTATATTGCTGGCATGAAGCTACATATCAGAATTTGTAACAAGACAGAGAACCTGACAGCAGACAGATGATCTGTAGGTACCCAGGAAAATTTGGAAAATGAGTTACAATTTTGGAACCTAGGTGACACTGATAACTTATGTCTGTCACTGTAAGATGGCTGTATCTTGTTTCTGTCCTCCTTTACTGACAGAACTAGAAGTTACTTTGAATTGTGCTGATGGAGCTGATAGCACTTCTAGTTCTCAAACCTTACTCCCATGTAGCAAGTAGCCACACGGCAGGGCTCCAGCTCGGTATCAACCTATTCAGCGCTAGCATATAGGCACATTAAAGTTTGTATTTCTGTTAAAAGGACTGACGGTGAAATAGATGAATGTCTAGAAATAACAGATCATTTAAATTGTCACTAGATTCTTGAGTTGATACTCCATTGCTATAAACATGTGATATAATTTTTCAAGCTTTGCATAATTGTAGGAAAATAATGGTTTCACTTTTTCATATGAAATACAGGATCTTTGTTTTAGATCATTCAGACTATCATTCAGTCCTAATAGTTGCTGCTGCAGATATTTTATTAAGATTCATTTTTTAACTAAGCCCTGTCTTGTGGAAACACTTGTGTGAGTAAATTTATGCATAGGAACAAAGCTTCTCTACACACTGGAACAGCTCCTGTGTTGCTACGAACACATTTTCACAAGTATAGCAGAGGCAACCAAATCATTAAGTAAGTTCTAAGTTCAGAATACTTGTGGCTATGTAAGTGAGAGAGAGAACACTGGTGGGCTTCCAGATACCAAGCTAAGCTCACAAGGCTGTATAATAAGAAGAGGATTTGATTTTTTTTGAGTATGTATCATATGACGTCCTTGAGAAAGAACAGAAGCCACCCCCTCCCCCATGTCAACTGGTAAGTCTTTTTGTGACTAGAAGGTTTTGTTTTACTGAGACGCAGACCTTTTCATGAAATAATAGGTGACCGGACTCATTGGTGGTGCAGGGCAAGTGTGCTGAAGTTAGTGATGAATTTGGTCCTTTGTCTCTCATATAAACCCCTTTTTGATCTTCCAAACCTTTGTGCGGTGACTTAAGAGGCTTCTTTCAGCCTTATTACATTTTGTGGCATATTAACCAGCTTTAAATTATTCCAGCCCTCAAAAAATCCAACTATGTCCAAGTTTTTTTGTAGGGCACAAGGTAACAGTCAACTGCAAGTGAAGGCTGGGGAAAAGTCTGAAGAAGCCGGTGAGGTACATCAGCGTAAAGTGTTTTGTCACTGGCCATGCAGATGCCCACCCAAGCCAACCTGCACCCTTGGCATGAGCTTGGTAAAGGATGGATGTGGCTGCTGTCAGATCTGTGCCAAGCAGTCAGGAGAGATATGTAATGAAGCAGATATCTGTGATCCTCACAAAGGGTTATACTGCGACTACTCTGCAGACAGACCTAGGTATGAAACAGGAGTATGTGCATGTAAGTTACTCTTTTGTATCCTATTCTTGACACTTGAGAGGGTGGGGACAGTTGCATGTGCCCCAGAAAATAAGATTCTTTTGTTTGGGATGTACAATTCATACTTTTATGTCACACCAAATTGGAGTTCCCCACCCGTTTTCCAGTGTGTAAAGCCACGATACTGAGATTAAGGCAGTATCTCCCTTAAACTTACTTAGGGTGAAGTTACACATTACACTTAGATCATAGTAATGACACTTAAAATGTGAGCATCCACACATTAAAGCTTTTAAGTGCCCTTTGAGTGTCTCTCACTTACACCACTTCCGGCAAGGGTTAACTCTGGGTTGGGCTACCTAGCTTGTGTTAGGGGAAATAAAGGTAGTAATTTGCAGTTCTCCAGCATTCCAGCTGCCTCCCAACCCCCAGCGAAGTTGGAGCTCAGGTGTCCTGGCTCCTAGCCATGCCTCTAATCACCAGCCCTCTAGTGGCAAGACAGAACTGTGCAGGCAAGAAACAGCATTAACTGTTAACATGAGACTGCTCACATCTACACATGTGAATTTTTCTTTGCAGAAAATTCAGGGGCATTAAATTGTGCCCCAGCACTCATGTGAACATGCACCTATTGGGAACAAATTTGCTCCCAATGGGAGTGGTTCACTCAAGGGTTGCTCCTGCCCTATTTTGTACCCCCCGCAGCAGCCAGGGGGAGTTCCAGACTCCCCTGAGTGCCAGCCCAGGGCTGGCAGGGGGCATGTGGGCTGCGCCCAATCTCCACAGGGCAGGGGAGGGCTGTCCTGGCAACCAGGACCGCTGCATCCCAGCCAGGTCTAATGTGCAGTAAAGCATCTCATATAGACATGCTCAGTATGTTCTAACTTTAATACCACTTAACATTCCAGATTTAGCATGGTCTTACATGTAATATGCAACTTCAGCCCTACACATCAATTAAACTAGCCCGCTATGTATATCCACCCTTACATATAGGCATGTTTATTAGAAAAAACAGCCAATACACATACTTTTTCATACATAAAAAGTGCATATGGACAAGGAAGAGTTGGACTCAACTCTCATATCTGCAAACTTAATCAAAGGAAGTTCTGGATGCAGAATTTATAATAGCAAGGAGCACTACAGGTGGAAAAGGACACTCATTACAATTCTGTACACATTAACTGTATGTTAAAGCTTGTGGCAGATTAAGTAACTTTCCTGTCTAACCTTTTTCAGATATGATAGCTGTAGGATGCGAGCTCAATGGAGTGCATTATCCTAATGGGCAAGCTTTCCAACCCTCCCCTCTTTATAAGTGTCTGTGTGTCAGTGGTGCAATTGGATGCACCCCCGTATTCACTCCCAAATCAGCTGTAAGTCCATGCACCACAGTCAAAGGGAAAAAAAAGTTTGGACCTTCCACCTGTGGCCCTGGACAACAGAAGCAGCTACAATCAACAGGTTACAGATTAATGCCAGGTGTGCATGACTAGAATGGTAATTTCTTTTTATAAATGATAAATTTAAAAAATACATTTTTTTAAAAGGGCAAGTTTATAGATATTCTTCTATTAACCAACATGTCTGTCTTTCACATGGCTCACTTGTAGCATTATCAATGTGAAATCCCCATTCACTTTTAAAAGTCATCCTTATTTTTCTATGTACTAGAACAGCAGTTCTCAACCATTGTTGTACCAAGACTCCTTTGTAAACATCAATGGCCAGTCTCAATCCAGTGCCCCTCTCTCCCAACCCACTGCCCTCCTGCCCCTACGCCTCAACCCCCCAGTGTGTGGGGCAGGGGATGGGTGTGTTGGACATGGGAGGCCCCAGGCAGGCCCTCGCAGGCTGGAACTCTGACAGCCTGGAAGGGAAAAGCCAGTTTCCCAAGTTTTTCTCCTTTAAAGGAGAATCCATTTTTAAAGTTTGTTTGTGACCCTTTCATAAGGTTCCTATACAGGTGCAGGGAGGCTGCTCCAATGCACTGTAACTACAGCACATTGAAGAAGACTCAGTTAATTGAGTCTGTTGGAGCATGGCAATTACCGTGCTCCATCATCACGTGTATCATTTTACCTGTACTGAAAAATGGTAGCGGGGGTGTTTTAACTCAAGCTTGTTTGACCAGCTTTAAAGCGCCCTGTCACCATTTTTCAGCGTGGGGAAGCTGATACATGTGACACTCCAGGCGCTTATTAAAGCACCCTCCCGCCTCCCAGAGCACATCGATAAACACCCATATATTCTTGCAATGCACTTTTGGGTCATGACCCACTGGTTGAGAAACACTGCACTAAAAGAATAAAATAAAACTAAGCTCAAGACTCAACAGCTAACCACTCTCATGCACTGTGGATGCTTAAGTATATGGGGAAGACCCGGGATTTCCTAAAGTGGGGTGCAGCACACCACCCCTTGAACTATAGGGGGATAGGGGTGAAGTGTGGTTGGGACCCCTTGGCCAGTATGGGACACCAGGAAGCTGGGCAGGGAGCAGGTGCACAAAGTGGGGACCTGCACCCTGCTGCTGCCGCTGTTGCTGGCTGACCTACTGGCAGGGGGGAGCTCCAGAGCTGCTCCTGCCCTGTGCTGTAGGGGGCAGCTGTACAGGAGCTGGGCTTGGCCAGGGACATCAGCAGTGGTGGTGCACAAGTTCCTCCCTCCAGTGCCTGCTCCCAACCAGAGGCAGGAGCAGGCACGGAGCAGGCAGTGGAAGGAGGAACCTGTGAGCCGCTGATCCCTCCTGAGTCTGGCACCCTGCAAAGCCATAGCCCATGGCTGGAACAGGACAGAAGCAGCTCTGGGGCTCCCTCTGTGCCCAGCTGAGCTGGAGCAGTAGTAGTAGTGGCAGAAGGTCGGTTCAGCCATATTGCTGCACCTCTTTGGACCCTCTCCTGCATAAGCAGCTGCATGGCAGGAAGCCAGCCTCCTCCCCACTCTGCACTTGGAGGTCAGTTTGGACAAGCTTTTAGCAAACCATCCTAAAGAAATGGAAACTCGCTTTACATCCAAATCATAATTTAGTACTTGGACCAGCAGCAAAGGAGAGCAAATCCTTTTCACAGAATGTATTTAAAGTTGTATACAAAACCACACTCGGTAAGAAAGCCACTCAGAAAAGCATCTGAGTTCAAATGAATGCATTGCACACTCTAGAAACTGTTCTTAAATTAATCAAGAAAAGACATAATACCTCTTAAATGTCCGAAACACTCATTTCATCTGGTTAAAATGCATCAATAAAGCAGTACGATGACCTGAAACTACTTATTTTTGTCATCTTAATATAACTGAAATCTGAAACCAAGTTTTTAACAATCTTTACTGAGAAAGCAGAAATACCAAATATTTGTATAAGATGTGGAATACAAGAAAAAGCTTATCATCATTCACAAAGCAACTGTTTTCAAATTGGCCCTTGTTTTAGAAGGCTGAGCCCTCCCCTGCTTTATTAAGAGGAGGAGAAAAAGATAATTGACCGATGCATACTGAGGAACCAGGTCATTCTTCCGGTCACAAAGCACCTCTGATTGCTGTCTTTGCCCCTGATGTCAGGGAAACAAACAGCATTTTCCCCAGACTAGGTGCATTTTCTGCATAGAACTTTAGGCAAGTCTGTAAATCCATAGCAGGTCTGCATGAGGTAAGAAGAGTAACAGAATTTTTCCTGTATGTCAAAACACTTCTGTGTTTCAATAAAATGGAGCTTGTTGTCTTGCAGAGCCCAGCAAACTACAAATTCTAATTTCATAAGCTAGCTTTTGTGGAGAACTTTCTTGCATGTGATCCTGATGGAAAGCACACAGCCTGGGTGGGGTCATTTATGCTTCTAATTAGTTAGACTATCTGGCCTTCATGTATTATCACAATATGAACCCCAAGGGGATATTTAAATCCAATTAAATCCAGATAAGGATTTACTTGAATGTAAAAAGAATTTTACAGTAACATTCCTGTTCCTCTTAGATTTCAAACTTTGATTTTACATCAAAGTAGAAGTGACTCAAGATAATCACCAGGGATCTGGGTTTTCCATTTGCTATGGTAAAACACGGATTTTTTTTAAAGGAGAAAAATGTGGGAAACAGCAGGTTTCCCCTTGCAGGCTGACAGAGTTCCAGCTTGCAAAGGGCTGTGGAAGGAAGGTGATCAAGCAGGGGACACTGTGTGCATGTGTGTGCATGCACATGCATGTGTAGGTGTACGTAGTAGCCAGGCAGCGGTGCAGCTTCCTCCAGGTAAGTCT